CTAACATATCATTACAAAAATTCACCGTTTATCGTGAATATGCACCTAAAACTGTATTCGTGGGCTCAATAAACAACTTTAAATCATATATTACATATATTCTTTATTTATTTTATATATATAGTGTATACATTGAAAATAAATAACAAATTCGTTAAAATTTGATAAAGACATAAAAATTATTTTGCGTTACGTAACAAACAATTATCTGGACTCTTCTTTTCAGGCAAAATTTGCAGTTACCATGAATTTTGAAAAGCTTTGTCCCATCACAGATACGTTCTTAATATCGCAGATTTCAAGTAACCCTTTGGAACGAGCTTTCAAAAAGCATGGAATAAATGCTCGCTACAAAGACCAGCCGATAGACGTTTTCACATTTGCTAATTAAAAATCAGCAGTAGGTATACTGTATGCATTCGAACACCCGAGGGAATAGAAAAAAAGAACCCGGAAGCAAGAGAGGTCGTTACAGAGTTAATGCACGCGATGGTTGCGAATCCGATACAATCAATCTACGAATGAAAAACAGTGTCGCTGATAATATAATTAACAATTGATATTTACTATAAATATTTCTTTTTAATATATTATTAAACTGTAGGAGACTTGTTTTTATCTCTTGGCTTGAATTTTTTCCTACTATTTCGCTTCATTCTGAATGTCATTCATTACTTCCTTTCTCCTGCCTTATTGCGCAATTTTAGTAATTGTATTTTATTAAGAAAGCAACTCCGTTAGTCACAATTTAAACTTGCTATTTTACTCTGCACTCTTTTACTTTGAAAAAGCAATTTTCTATTCGCTAACGAGAGCCTATATTTTAAAGAAAATAAATTCCATTTCCTGGCTTTCATTTATTCGTGTCTCCGATATTACACATTTTATCACTACACGAGTTCTCATATAAAAATATGCTCTAATATGTAATAGCATTGGTATTATATCATAAATCTTGAGAAACCTACCACAATTGCCAGACCATGATACTGTCACGTAAAATAACAAAGTAAAAAAAGGAATTTGAGGTAAAAAA